AAGCATCTAAAATATATGTGATAAAGACAAAAAAGTGATCACAACGTAAATTAGTTTTGTTGAAAACCTTATATATATGCTGCTCCAACATTAAAAACAAATACCAAACCAAGCAGGTCTTTATAGAAAACAAAATAGATAACCTCTTTATAATTCAGTAAACGATTTCATTAAATCATGATTGATAATGCTATTTTGAACGGTTTGTTATCGTATTATTAAGCATTAAAAACATTTAATCTTGATCTCTAATGCTGCATTTATACTGTTAGTAATTGTATTATTAAATGCTGCCATCTAGAGATTAGATGAGAAAATGACGATTGATCTCCTGACACTCTCAGGGCTTATATAATTATTTCTAATTATTTTCTTTAAAATGTTAAATAATTTGATTTATGAATGAGAATGTGCTATAAATTCTTTTGCTTGTCTCTTACTGACACAATGAGATTTATTTAGATTTGGGGCAGAATTTGTGCTATTTTTATACGCATAGATGCTACTTTTCTGCAACCTTAAAATCATTTCTAAAAGCTAAAACCACATAATCAATACAACAAACTTAACTGAACAGGGGGCTGTTCCAGAAAGCAGGTTATGTGACATACACGGGTAAGTTTGAGAGTAAGTAGGTGGATAACCTCAACTTTGGTTCCAAAATCGGAGGTAACTTCTGGGTATGTTAAGTAGCCATAGCAACTTACTCTGTGAAGATAACCTGCTCCGGAGCAGGTTATGTTCAGAGTAAGTTGCTATGTTTCAGAGTTTGTCTGTTTCAGAGAGTTTACTGAGCATTGCATGCTCTTTTGATGAGAATATTTATGGATGTGGACACACAGATACAAGTTTTTTCGTTGTGAGAGGGTTATAAGTGCATAGTTTTTTTCATAAGCAAATTCATAATGTCAATGTATTTAACAAACCTTTTTGAAATCAAATGTGACAAACCGCGGGTCTGCGCTTACCATAAAAAACATTCAGTGCAGCTCTTTGTATTCGCGTCAGGGCATTTTAGGCAACTGTACAATATGGCAGTAGGACCACCTGTACAGTATGCCTGGCACAGAACTGTTTTTTACACTTTTGTACAGTTCCTTGGTCATACATTACTGCGTATCATTACACAGATAATTTAGAGCACGGGAATAGCGTAGTGGACAGTGCGTCTATAAAGAACAACGGAGCGCACACGGTGCGAGTTCGAATCTCACTTATAGATCTTGTGTTTTTTCTCTTCTTCTGCACCCTCACATTTTTCTGTATATTATAAGTGGCAGCTTTGTCTTTTGTAGGAAAATATATCTTTAATTTAAGATGTAGGTCGTCAGTCTTATATATACATTCACGCACACACACCTACATTTTTTAATATAATTTTTTTTTCAGGGTTTCTAAATGCTATTGTGTGCATTAATTGCAGCCGATTTTAAAGCTCCATCAGTCACTAAAGAACACTGATAATATAAAATTTGTCCAAAGTATAAGTGTGCAGGTACAACTTAATTTTCTATCCTTAATCTTTTGGTGTTTCAACTATTAAACTCATTACTGCTTCCACTTACCAGCTCATCACACACCCCTCCTCATCACTATATGTTAGGTGTTAGGGTTAGGAGTAATGATTCAAGTGTATAACACAAATATAGTAAAATATATATATATATATATATATATATATATATATATATATATATATATATATATATATATATATATATATATATATAAAGCAAATGTTGCTTAACACAATGTTTATTTTTATTATATTTGTATTATAAAATAGAATCATTACTGGGCACTACATTGTTACTTGCTGGAGGACAAAAGATACCCTTTTCTGCCTTATACGATGACACCATACCTGCAGCCTGACCCAGAGGAAATCTCAGTGACCCAAGCAGACAAAACAGATGGAAGAGTGCTAAAAATATATAATTAGTCAAAAAACTATGTTTAATCAAATAGTTTGGTCTGTTCATTTCTTCATTTCCTGAAATAAAATGAATGATTTTGTACACTGCTTTATACACACACCTTTCAACGTGTAACATATTTTTCATATACATTTCTCACCTTAAGTTGATGCTCATGTGACTTTATCTTTGAAGATGGACCTTATACAGCTACTTTAGAATTTAAATATGTAGATAAAAGATTTTGTGATCCAAGAGTAATATTCAAATATGGAAAAGTGCAGAAAATTCTTACACTGCTTGTTAGTTGAGTCAGAAGGAACTTTGTCTGCATGCAAAATAAAAAGAACCTAAAGCTATCTGACAACAGTCACTTACAACAGTGACAGAGTGTGGTTTAAGTCAAAAACTCAACCACTGAAAAGCCTTTATTATAGGACACAGCAGTTAGACAGGCCTCTTTCTATTAGCTGCATGGCAGAAAGAATATTCTAGAGTGTTAAATAAAGAGCTCCAGTAATTAAATATTACCTTTTATGATAATGTTTTTGTGTTTAATGACTTTGGACAGAGTTCTAGCTCCAGAAAGATTACAATTTCTATAAGCCTTATTAGTCAACACATATTGTGGCCTTAAGAAATTAATGGCAAGAAAAATAAATGCATGAATGGTTACACAACATACTCAAAAAGGATGTTAAAGAGTAGTTTAATTTATCGTTACAATAAAATGGAGGGTGGCATGTGTAATTTAATGAACTAACAAACTTTCTTATTATTTATTTTTTCTTTTCTTATCTATTTCTTATTCTATATTTCTTTCCTTCGTTGAAGCAGATGTGTAATCTCTGTGTTTAAAACCTCCAGCTCTGCCTCTGTAAAGTGCGTTGCCTTTTTTTTCTCACCGTGTTTTTTTATTGTGACTCGTGAATTCGGCGATCTACTAAAAATGCCTTCAGGTGTGGGCCGTGCACGCGCATAAACCCTCGGTTATCTTCAGGAGGTTGATTTAACTAACTCTTGTCACCTGTTTTGGAACCAACATACTCGCGGTAAGCAGGTTTTTGGGTAAATCAACCGAGAGTTTAGGTTTTAGCAGATGGTAAGTTAACCCAGCTTTCTGGAATACCCCCCAGGTAATTTAAGAAATAAATTACTTTAAACTTAGTTTTTATAAAAGTGGCAATTTACTAAAAGCATCAAAACTTTGTTTTTCTATCATTAAAAACATCAGCAGAGATGACAGAAAAAATTAAGGTTAAAAGTATGATAACACATTTAAAATATGTTATTTTAATATATTCTGGGCACTGAACGCCACATATGTCAGAGATCACTATCTTCGTGCAGACTTTTGGTGTTGTTCACAGTGTTAAGACAGTGTTCTTTCCTTAAAAGAAGCAATTAACTCAATGATTTTAAAGGTTTATTTATTTAACATATTATTTAAAGAATATTTTAACTGAAGTGCAAGCTTCTAGGCCTAAATAATAATATGGGATTTAAAAAAAAAACTTGGCTGTAACAAATTTTCTGTATATGATTTATGAAAAGCTATCGTTAAACAAAAAGAGGCTATTAACAACAAAATTAAAGAAGAAATAACAGGCACCGACTGCATGAATTTAATTTTTAATAGTAATTAGGAAACGTTGCCACCTGCTGACGGTACGAGAAAACTGCAAGTGCACACAAACAGACAACAAACATCATTAAGTATCATTTGTTCTTTTTGCAAAGTTTGATATTTTCAAAACAGAACAATAATCAGAAAAAAGCCTTTGTGTGTTAATGTCTGAACCACCAATCTTAATATGGACCCCTTCAAAAAAGGAATAAAAACATTTATGTAATTGCTAATATTTTGAGGTTAATATTTATAATCGTCATATTATAGTCATGTATAAATGTTTGATTAAATAACTTTAAATAGCAATTTTACACATTTTTTTTATTTTATTATATACAGTTGTTACAATTAGTATTAGTATAACATGCACAGGCATCACAGTGTTCTCCCCGTGCGTGGGTTTCCTCCAGGTGCTCCAGTTTCCCCCACAGTCCAAACACATGCGCTATAGGGGAATTGAATAAGCTAAATTAGCCGTAGTGTATGTGTGTGAATGCAAGAGTGTATGGGTGTTTCCCAGCTTTGGGTTGCGGCTGGAAGGGCATCCGCTGCGTAAAATATATGCTGAATAAGTTGGTGGTTCATTCTGCTCTAGCGACCCCAGATTAATAAAGAGACTAAGCCAAAAAGAAAATGAATGAATGAATAAATGAATGAATTGTTACAATTAGTATTATTATACCATGCACATATTTTCGATTCTTTATCTTGTTTTTCAGACTTTACTTTTTCAAGACTAATGTAAATATTGTCTGTCTGTTTTATATTATTGTAATCCAAATAAACATTATATAAAATGGGCTGCTTAATCTGATTCTGATTATTATTTTATCATTGCAACACATTTTAGCTTTTGAACTTCTAGCTACAGACTTTCACATCTTGTAAACCAAGACAATGAATGACAAATCTTTAATAAATTTATTTAAAAATATAACAATTTTTAAAAACAAAGCTTAAAGAAAAATTAATATCAAAATAATATTTAGTTAAAGTAGCCCATCTTATATAATGTTTATTTGTATTATAATAGTATACAGATGCCCAATATTTACATTAGTCTTGAAAAGTCTTAAATTAAAAGTAAAAAAAAAAAAAGATAAAGAACCAAAAAAATATGTGCATGGTATAATAATATAAATTATAATAGAATATATAAATATATATAAAATTACTATTTAAAGTCATTTAATCAAACATATTTCATGACTAATAATATGACATAAACATAAATTAACATGCAATGTCTTTGTTATGCATCTGTGCCATACAAGCAAATTACTGTAGGCAAGAGAGACAAAAACTTCACATACTAAACAGATGGCTGGAGAAAAGGTGTAGCCTACAAGTAAAGATTATTAAACTAATAGGTAAAATGATCTACATTTAAAAAAAATTACCCCCTCACAGCTGTCATGAAGGGTAATAATAACTGTATACACTAAAACCATATGTGACGTTAAGCTTCTTTTCACTGGCCTAGTTGGGCATTTTAAGAAAGGGGTTTGTCAACCTCTAGTGACTAGTCAATGCATTGCGGTTTCAGTTACACCAGATGAGCAAGTACGGAAGACGTATACCTGTTTACCCCAGCATTAAACAGCGCACCAGGAAGAGGTTGCCTTTTTATTTTTTACGCTTCTCTTATATTAATCTTTTTAAAAGGAATCGTAATTTGTGGACGTCTTTAAGAAATTATTTAGGAGAAGCATGCTTTTAAACTGACTGCAGATTTTTTTTACTCTTGTGGGAATTTCGTACAAAAGCGAAAGCAAAATATGGCTTCGAAAAATTCCTCTTTAGAAAGCCTTTCTTGCCCTGTGTGTCGCGAAATCTTCAAGATTCCAGTTCTTCTGTCGTGTAGTCACAATTTCTGTAAAGAGTGTCTTCAGCAGTTCTGGGCAACCACAAAAACTCAGGATTGTCCGGTCTGCAGGAGAAGATCCTCAAAATACGAGCCTCCAATTGATCTTGCTTTACAAAAACTGTGCGAGGGATTCCTGGAGGAGGACAAAGTAGAAAGGAGAAATGAAACTTGTTCATATAAGGTAACATTTATTTAGTAGATTTTGTTGTAATTAGTACATACAGTGATATGCAATTGAATATAATTTTATGTAACCTATTACACTGAAATTTAATTACCCACTGATTATCTGATCTCCGTAATAATAGTTAAAAAAATTAGAACAAGTTTGCATAGCACTTTTGTGTTATAATGTGTGTAGATCTAGTGGTGTTAACCCTACGTTGTACGCGCCAAACTGCTGTTTTTGTTTACACCTGCAAACTTTCACTTTTGTATTTGCCATTGGATAACTTTTAAAATTTGTTTTGTTTTATACATCTATTGCATATTTTATAAAATATGTTCAGTGCCAGCACACAAACTGAAAATATGACAACCAGTACAAATGAGTCTTTCAGTTATTAGACAGTTATTTTATTTAGAAAAAACAACCTTTTTGAAATACAGTGGTATTTAATTGGCATTATACATGAAGCAGTCACATGATTTTAAGCTGAACAAAGCTTCTGACATAACATTTCACATGTTTTGGCAAAATGAATCTGGCTCAGTCTTCAGTCATCTGGCTGAATTATAGCACATTAGACTGGTTAACTGGTTTGTCTCAAGTAGCTCCAGTTGCTTATACAAAATCAATAATTTAATTTGGATTTGTAAACATCATCAAGCTGAATTCTTTATAGGGAACATGCTGGTTGTGCTGCACTTGATAAAGTTTAGTAGTAGAAATCAATACATTTAAGTTTTATACAGCTGAAGTCAGAATTATTAGCCCCCCTTTGAATTTCTTTTCTTTGTTTAAATGTTTTCCAATTGATGTTTAACAGAGCAAGGAAATTTTCACAGTATTTCCTATAATATTTTTTCTTCTGGAGAAAGTCTTATTTGCTTTATTTCAGCTAGAATAAAAGCAGTTTTTTTAAACACCATTTTAAGGTAAAAATTTTTATTATTATAAATCAATTATTAGAGATGAGTTATTAAAACTATGATGTTTAAAAATGTGTTGAAGAAATATCTCTGTTAAACAGAAAATAGGGAAAAAATAAACAGGGGGACTAATAATTCTGACTTCAACTTTATATACTAACTGACTGCAGTTCTGTTACTTGAAATTATGTTTATAACACAGTATATAGGTTAGTTAATAATAGGACAGTTAATAAATACTTGGTAAAAATAAATAAATTAAACAATTTTATTTTTATTTTTCCCATTGCACAGTATTACATTGCGTTCAAGCCTAATATGAGCAGGATCCATTCAAGGATATGATATATTTAAAGAATTGTTTTTATCTAATTTGTTTGACACAGCCTACTTTAACTTTGCATAACGTATTCATCAATCGATGCCCTCATCTGCATCATAAATTTTATTCTTGTCTTTACATGCATTTCAGGGTGCAAAAAAAAAGAAAAAAACTACTTTAAAACACAAAACATTACAGCTTCATTACAATTACATTTGTTATAAGGCAGAAATGACAAATAGAAATAAATTGCTACAGAGTTTTCCTACAAATGATCATCTGTACTTTTTATTGTGTGTTACTTTTTATACAGAACAAGAATGATCTCATTCAAAAAAGCATCTTAATTAAAGATGGAAATCCTGCTCGATACAGACTGCAAACAAATACAGAAAATCTGGATAAATCTGAACCCTACAGAAAAATCATTTTTGGAAAAAGAGACGAAAACAAACCTCATAAAACTATTCTGATAGTTGGAGAAACAGGCGTAGGAAAAACTACCCTGGTCAATGTGATGGTCAACTACATGCTGGGTGTTGAGAGAGAAGACAAGGTTTGGTTTGAGATCACAGATGATCAGAGTGATCAGTCTTCAGCTCACAGTCAGACCTCCATCATCACTGTTTATGGGGTTTATCTACAAGAGAGTCCAATAGATTTAACAATCATCGACACACCAGGATATGGAAACACTCGTGGAATTGATTTTGATATTGACATTGGCATGAGATTAAACAAAATTGATGACCTGACCCATGAAATAAACGCAGTGTGTCTGGTGAATAAAGCAACACAGAATCGCCTTTCTGACAGACTAATATACATAACTGATGCTGTTCAGTCTTTATTTGGGAAAGATATTGATGAGAAAATTGTCCTACTCTTCACACATTCAGATGGATTTCCTCCTAGTAATGCTTTAATAGCTGTTAAAGAGGCTCAAATCAAGTGTGCATTGAATGGACGCAATCAGCCTTTGTTTTTCTTGTTTAACAATCGCCAGTCAGATACTCATGATGAAGAATATGAGATGATTGAGGAGATTGCATGGGATCTCAGTTTTAGAGGAATGACAGGATTGACGCAATTTATTAACAACATTAAACCAAGAACTCTGAAGATGACACAAGATGTTTTGCAAATCCAGAGAGAGTTGGGGGCAAAAATTTCTGATTTACAATTAGTGGGTCAAGAGTTAGAACAGAAAAGGCATGAACTGAAACAAGCTCAAGATGCTCTACAAGAGGAAAAGGTCAAAGACAACAAGAACTTTGAGTATGAAGTTGAAGTGTCCTACAAAGAAAGGGTTGATATTGATCTAAATTTAGCCTATAAGGCCACATGCTGCACTGTCTGTGAGGAGAACTGTCATTATCCTGGATGCTGGTGGGTCAGTAATCTTTCACGGTGTACTGTGATGAAAGATTATCACTGTACAGTGTGCACTAATAAATGCCACTACAGTGATCATGTCAAAGAAGCAAAGATATATGTGACAAAGACAAAGAAGGAGAAGAGGACATATGAAGATTTAAAGAAGGAACATGAATACAGAATTAAAAGTGGTGTTTATTTGGTCGGAAAACTCGAAGAACAACTCAAAGAATTGGAGAAAGAGAATGAAAATCAACTAAAAGAAGCTTTTCACAGTGTGGACACTCTGGATAAAATAGCACTCAACACTGATTCACTGAACACACTTCTGCACATTGATTTTCTGATTGAGAAGCTGAAGGAAATAAATGAGCTTGGAAAAGTCAAAACACTGGAAGACATCAAGAAGAGAGCAGGGAAAGGAAAACAAAAAGCTCTAAGATACTTTACAATATCTACAAAAAAATAAACAAATAATGCCTCAGCTACTCAAACACTACACTATAAAAAAGGATTTTTAAAAAAAATGTTTTTATGTTAACTACTTGGAAATATTTGCCACACTTTATTTTGAGGCACAATCCACACTATTAATAATCCATTTACTTAAGACTTTTAACTTTAATAAACTTCTAACTAACTTAATATTAGTAATGTGGTAGTTAGGTTTAGGTATTGGGTAAGATTAGAGATGTAGAATAAGAGTATATTTATGCAAATGAACAGTTAATATCTTAGTAATAGGCCTTGTGTAAATTGTTGCTTAAGATAAAGTGTTACTAAAATATTTTTTCATTTATCATTTTTTTTTTTGCTTCTTTTATCATCATGTCATGGTTTATACACTAATATAAGTATGTAAATTGTATTAGGGCTGGGTGGTATGACCAAAATTTTATTTCACAATGAGAAAGCTTATTTAATGGTAACAATATCTTTCACAATATAGTTTTTATAAAGGTAATTTTTCCAGAAAATGTCAAGAAAAGGACTTGATCTATTTTGATTTAGTAAACGAATTATGACTTAAGATGAACAACAAATTCCAATTTTAAGTGGAGATTGCTAAAACATTTCTCAAATAACATCTGGCAGATATAAAATACATTGAAAAATATCTGGCCAAATATTAATCACTGTCATCATGACAAAGATAAAGTAAATCAGTTATTAGAGATGAGTTAAAACTATTGTGTGCAGAAATGTGTTGAAAAAAATCTTCTCAGAAATTAAATAAACAGAAATTGGGGAAAAATAAACAGGGTGGCTCATAATTTAGGGGGACAATAATTCTGACTTCAACTGTATATACCGTCATACCACCCAGCTCTAAATTGTATGTATATTGTATTCAGTTCTACCTTTTTTGCACTAACAATTGTATACAATAATTTCATGAATACCATTCTTCTTGTTTATTTCTATTTACATATGTTTGGCTATAATATTTGTTTAGACATTTGTTTAGACAATCAGTGAACATACAGTGCATCTGGAAAGTGTTGATAGTGCTTCACTTTTTCCACATTTGTTTATGTTACATATTTATTCCAAAATGCATTGAATTCATTGATTTCCTCAAAATACTACACACAATCCCTCATAATGACAATGTGAACAAATAGTTTTTGAAATTGTTGATATAAAAAAGCTGAAGATTCACATGTACATCAGTGTTCACAGCCTTTGTTCAATACTTTGTTGATGCACTTTTGGCAGTGATTAGAGCCTCAAGTCTTTTTGAATATGATGCCACAAGCTCTGCACACCTGTCTTTGGGAATTTTTGTCCATTCCTCTTTGCAGTACCTCTCAAGATCTATCAGGCTGGATGGGAAGTGACGGTGTACAGCCATTTTCAGATCTCTCCAGAGATGTTCAATAGGATTTAGATCTGGGCTCTGGCTGGGCCACCCAAGGACATTCACCGAGTTGTTGTGAAGCCGCTCCATTGATATTTTGGTGGTGGGATTTGGGTAATTGTCCTGCTGGAAGATGAACCATCGCCCCAGTCTGAGGTCAAGAGCGCTCTGCAGCAGGTTTTCATTCAGGATGTCTCTGTACATTGTTGCATTCATCTTTCCCTCTATCCTGACTAGTCTTCCAGCTCCTGCTGCTGAAACACATCCCCACAGCATGTTGCCAACACCACCATGCTGAACTGTAGGGATGCTGTTAGCCTGGTGATGAGCACTGCCTGCTTTTCTCCAAACGTAACGCCTGGCACTCACTCCAGAGAGTTCAATTTTAGTCTCATCAGAGCAGAGAATTTAGTTTCTGATGGTCTGAGAGTCCTTCAGATGCCTTTTGGCAAATTCCAGGTGGGGAGTGTCTTCCATCTGGCCACTCTACCATACAGGCCTGATTGGTGGATTGCTGCACAGATGGTTGTCCTTCTGTAAGGTTCTCCTCTCTCCACAGAAGAACACTGGAGCTCAGACAGAGTGACCATCAGGTTATTAATCACCTCCCTGACTAAAGCCCTTCTCCCTCGATCACTCAGCTTAGATGGCCGGCCAGCTCTAGGAAGAGTCCTGGTGGTTCAAACATCTTCCACTTACAGATGATGGAGGCCGCTGTGCTCACTTTCTGTAAATTTCCCCAGCCTTGTGCCTCAAGACAATCCTGTCTCGGAGGTCTACAGTCAGTTCCTTTGTCTTCATGCTTGTTTTGTGCTTTGACATGTCAACCCTGGGGCCTTACATAGACAGGTGTATGTCTTTTCAGATCATGTCCGATCAGCTGAATTGAGCACAGGTGAACGTCAATGAAGCTGCTGAAACATCTCAGGAATGATCAGTGGAAACAGAATGTATCTGAGCTCAATTTAGAGCTGTGAAGGCTGTGAATACTGATGTACATCTGTTTTTTCAGATTTTTAAAACAATAAATAGAATTTTTGCATAGTTTTATTATGTAGATGAAACAATACTAGGCCTTGTAGAACTCACTTAATTTTTATCTGTCAAAATAAAATTTTCACATAAACTTAACTTATTTTTTCTCTGACCATTATTTTGTGTGTGGGATCTACATAATCTAATGAGTTGTAAACTTGCATTTTGTATTGAAACCAACATCTTTTTTTAAATTGTCTATTTTACAAATTCTAAGTAGAAGTAGACTACTTAAACAAAATATTACGTAGAGCTGGCAAATTCTGTGAAGAAATTACAGGATATGATGTAAAAAATGACAGTTATTATTTTTTTTTTATTCAACATATATTTCAAAATACAAATTCTTTACTTCGTCAAAACTTATACAATGATGGAATACAAAGGACTTAATATGGATGGTTCAGACTAGTTTTTACACATACGTGCTTGTGTTTATTAATCCTTAAATGCAACCAAAACAGTAACATAAGCATTGTAAACTAGCAAGTGAAAAATCTTCACAGAAAACTAAACTTTTTTTGTATGGGACTTTTTTAAATGCATCCTACTAAACACATGAACTATATTAACTGATAATGCTGTAAATAAAATTACATTCAGACTGTGCAAAAAAACAAAGCAAAACAAACAAACAAAAATCTCGCTTCACATGCACAGGGATATTTCACTCAAAAATAGAAATTCTGTCATCATTTTCTCACCCTTTACTTGTTTCAAAGTTTTTTGTGTTCTGTTGAACACAAAGATTTGTTTTTTCCTACTGTGGAAGTCAATAGTTTCAGAATAAGCTTTCTTGTAGTAATTTTCTTTAGTGTTCAACAGAAGAAGAAACAAAGGTTTGAAACCACTTTAGGGGGAGAAAACAGTAAAAAAAACTTTTTTGGTGAACTAACCCTTCAACTGACCCACAAGTATGGTCCATATGTAAAAAGGCCTTTTCAAAATTGTGCTTGGAAAAACTGAAAAATCTGAACAATACAATTTACTCAAATGACCCAACAAAATCTCGCTACTATCAACAATGTCTGTATGGCTTTTAGGCCAATAAGCTGATCTTGAGATCTTGGACGTTGGGGAACATGTTACTGTTCGTCATCAAGCTTGAAGAAGCCCTTATGAAAAAACTCAAAAATGTATTTGCGTTTCTTTGGATAGCTTAGTTCCAGTGCATAAATGCAGCCCATGAGGTACAGCAGGTACAAGAATCTGCTCCAAAAAGTACATTTGCTCTCTCAATGGTTATTTCAGCTTTTTTGTGACCTGGATTGGTTGTCCACAAAGATAAACTGCTTTCAGAGGCTTAATACTCTTCCTTGGTAAAAAGACAGAGTTTATTAAGAACTACAGAAACATTTTTTTTATTCATGTGAAAACTTTTAACAAAATAAGTGAGATCATACAAAATGCATGTTATTTTTTATTTAGTACAGTTTTGAGTAACAAAATTATGGATTATGGAAAATGATAAAGAAATTGTCATGGACTTTCTCAGTTAAAGAAAATGTGTGTCTATTGTCTGCTGATTAAAGCAACTGTAAATTGCCCCTCTGACGGACAACAATACACATTTGATGCAGTTCATTCTTAATTTGGAAGAGATGTTGCTGAAAACATTGTCCTGCTCTTCACATTCTCCCATAGAGCTCCTTCTAGTAATGTTCTGATGGCTGTTAAAGAAGCTAAAGTCAAGTGTTAGCAGAAAAAACAGAATCAGCCTGTTTTTCTTGTCTAACAACTATCAGTGAGATGATTATGATAAAGAGTATAAACCACCAATTACTCTGACATAAGTTTAATGCAGCAGGGAACACCCATACATTCTTCATTTACACACTATGGCCAACTTTGTTTACCTAATTCACCTATGACACCTTGAGAACAAGCAAACTATACACAGAGAGCTCAGCTGGGACCTAAACCAGTGACCATTTTTCTGTGAATCACTGTACTGCCCCAGTTAAAACAAAATAATTTCAATGTACGATCACATGTTCAACAAAGGCAAAAATACCCGAAACAATGGGGAAAATACTGTTAAAACAAAGTAAAAGTTTATATTGATCCCACGCTGGCATCTGACTAAAAATTGATATGCTGCACCAGTTGGATGCCAGATTATTACTGTAGTATGCCACTAGAGCAAACCTGCCAAAGAAGCAAAAATATATACAATAAAGAAAAACACAGAGAAGGTAACCCAAGAAAGACCTCAATGTATCACTTTAATAACAGCTTTCATAAATGATCATTAACAAATTGGGGAAACAATGTTTAAAATATTTTTAGAAGGAATCAGTAAAGCAGATCACACTCCAGAACATGTCAGGACATTAAAAGTATGTATTTTCGACTCTTAAAACTATCTTTCTGTCAGCGCTGATGGGTTTGCAGTTTTGCTTTGTCAGAGTTGAAAAACAACATTCTGTTCCAGTACGTATGTTTACAGGGCCAGTGTATTATAAACACAGAGGTGAAACTATGTTCATGCAGTCAGTTCACATTACCAGCATGTGTGTGTGTGTCATACAGGTACATTCTGTTAAACAACAAATTGTTTGGTAAACTGTAGAAGCAATCAAGATCAGGAAAAATGGGCCTACTTGTGTTATAACAGTGAGAAGAAAGCACAGAAATAGACAATTTCAACATATAATTCCATAAAAATGTCTTAAAGATAACATATTCTGCCTTCTTTTCAAGATGTAAGATAAATAGAATACAAAGTTATAATTATATATATAAAAAAATCTGCCTTAATAAGATCAGCTAACATTAACAACTTTTTTTCTCTAAAAAGTCATGCCATGGTAGTGGTGCTTGTCAACAAAGTCACCTATAAACATTTACAACAAATACATTTTAAAAATGATACAAGAAATTTGACTCACATTTTTTATCTCTCACCAAAGCCTCTCAAAATATATGTATCATATGTTGGCATTGGATACTCTTTTTGTCCTGTATCACCAATGAGACTCTGTACTGTATGCTTCAGACACATCAAGATTTCAGTTTTCTGTGCTCTACTTTTCAACACCCACACCTTTGAGTGGTCATTTTGTCATGCTTACTATACCTAGTTAACAACAATAGCCTTGTGAATGCATTTGACTTGAAGTAGTACAGTACAATCATGGGGTTGCAGTTTCAGTGGTATGACAGGTTTTTTAAGTTTCTTAAAAAAGTGAAACCAAAATCTCTGAAGATGACTAAAGATGTGTTAAAAAATAATCTCTAATGGGTCTCTATAATCTACAATCACAAATTCAATTGACTGAACTAAAGCAAAATGAGGAACATGTCAAAGACAACAAGAACTTGTTGAAGTTGAAGTTTCCTCGAAAGAATGAGTTTATATTGATCCTGCAATGTGCTGCATCTTCTGTGATGAGACTGTTCATAACTGTCATTATCCTGCATGCTGGTGGGTCAGTAATCTTTCACGGTGTAGTGTTAAAGGGGTGGTCTACTACGATGTTATATTTTAAACTTCAGTTGATGTGTAGTGTAGCTGTGTGAACATAAACAGCATCTCTGAATGTAAACTGCTTAAAGTTCAATGCAAAGGGAGACCTTGATTTATACAGAGTTAGCTTAGCAATGCCTACAATGAATGAATTTCAGGGACTACAAAAAATACTTCCTCCCCCTGTGAGATCACAAAAGTTCGTTATTGCGCATCCCACACTGCG